GCCATGAATGGCAGAAAGTTCGCTGTACTTTGTGAAAGCGACATGGAGATCTCTGGGATAGTTGTATTTTCCGAAGAAGTTCATCTCAGCAAGTATCAGCAAAGCATCAGAGTTATTCTGCTTAGCAGCCTGCTCAAGCAACTCCACGGCATTAGCCAGCGGCCCATTTACCGGTGCGCTCGTCGTCTGCCCATGTGATGGCGCTTTGGCGGGGCCTGTGGGAATCGCCTTCATAGCAAATTGTAACACTGTTGTCATCACACCTGGAGTTCGACGGGCTCGGTGATGAGGCGATTTCTGGACTTTTCGAAGTTCGGACAGGGCGGCGCTGACAAGTTCAGCACCTACAGATTGGTCAGTCTCAAAGTAGCGCACATAGGCATCCCAGATCGCACGAACCTGGTTTCGGGGCCGCATCTTGATCTCGGTGGGAGAGAAGCTGGAAGTCCGGGTCTCTCTGATCATGATCGCCTCGATCCCTGCCGCCATTGGATTTCTCGTCTTGTCCCTGGTCCCAATTCGCGCTGACAACGACGAAGACCTGCAAAAGCACTGTCGGGGAACCCTGTCAGTGACACATTTATTGATTCTATCAAGTTAGGTACAGGACACTTACGGACTAACCAGACCTGTAGTCTGGCCATGCCGGTCTGGTTCTATGTATGAAAGAATAAGGAAATGTCTTGAAGCATGGCCGAATCACCAATGACTAAAAAGAAGATACTATTCAGTATGGTGTTGTGGTGGGAGTTTGGCAAGGTGACGGTTAATTACACGTGGAGCTTACCTGCTCCTCGGTGATAGCTCAGGTATGCGGGAGGGTAGCACCGTGGCTTGTTGGGACTAATCAGACGTCAGGAGCCAAGCTGCTGAAGAGATGACTAATGTCACGGCGGGACCTGAAAGCACCAGTGACGAAATAAGCTGGCAAGTGGGCAACATTCTGGAAGATAGCACGCAAGAACGTTGCACTTAGCTTGTGTATATCGCCTGCAGTCATTAGTACGCTTTAATTGGAAATAAAACTTATAATAAAGAATTTATCTATTTACATATATATAATCTTCATCCTTGTTCTTTTCTGTGCATTATTTTTGAGATTCTGCGGGATTCCTTCGTTGGTGATGAAGGTGCGCCACTTTCTATGTCGCCCACCTGGCCGCCCACCATTCCAGCAACCACCAGCCTGGGAATATGCAGGTACCTGCGATCTTGAATGATAGAAAATAACCTCGCAACACATATATCTCTTCATCGCACTTAGTTCGAATGCGACTCTTTCCCTCCAATTACACCCCCGACTTGTCGCAACCAAGCTATATCATATCTGCAGTCATGCCACTCCTTGAGTCTGATGTGGCTGGAGCGCCGTAATGTGGCTGAGAGAGCATGTGCTCACGCGATCGACAACGCGAAGCGCGTTAATAGGTTTTCGTTTCGCGTCGCGGCTGAGAGAGTCCCAGCGTGCATCTTGCAGCCTAGCCACCTTTCTTATACCCCTTTCCTCACAGCCCCAATCTCTTCGAACAATCTGGGACCTCAATTCAAACACCGAAATATTCATCCTACCACCATTCTTCCTTCACGATACATACGCTTCCCTCCTTCGAGTTGGAGGCCGTTGCTGGAACCTTTCACCAGAGCACCCTGTCACATCCGCAACCTCACAATGCTTAAACGAAAAGCCGGGGCAGCTGGGGGGAATGATGCCAAGAAGCCAAAGGCAAACGGAAACATTGCCTCGTTTTTTGGAGCTCCAAAGCCAGCAGCAAAAGGCTCAGGCGCCGATGCACCAGCCCCCAAGTTCGACAAACAGAAATGGGTCGACAGCTTGACCCCCGAACAGAAAACCCTCCTCCAGCTAGAGATTGACACACTGCACGAGAGTTGGCTCGCCCACCTCAAAGATGATATTACGACCACTCAGTTCCTAGACTTGAAAAAGTTCCTGCAGGCAGAGACGAAGGCGGGACGAAAGTGGTTCCCTCCAGCAGAGGATGTTTACTCTTGGTAAGAGCTCACCAAACAAGCACATGTCGGACAATTGCCCTAACAAGTCCTAGGTCACGACATACCCCCTTCAATGAAATCAAAGTGGTCATTGTTGGTCAGGATCCATATCACAATGTCAATCAAGCGCACGGCATGGCCTTCTCGGTTCGACCTCCGACTCCCGCACCTCCATCGCTTAAGAACATGTATATCGCCCTGAAGAAGGACTATCCAGCGTTTGAGCAACCTCCAAACCGAGGTGGACTCTTGACTCCTTGGGCCGATCGAGGTGTACTCATGCTCAACACCTGCCTTACTGTGCGGGCGCACGAAGCCTTTTCTCATTCGAACCGGGGATGGGAGGCATTCACTGAGAAGGTCATCCGACTAATCAACCAGAAGCGGACACGGGGTGTTGTCTTCATGGCTTGGGGTACACCTGCGGGGAAGAGAGTTCAGAAGGTTGACAAGAGCCGTCATCTTGTTCTCAATTCCGTCCACCCCAGCCCCCTCAGTGCGTCAAGGGGCTTCTTTGACTGCGGCCATTTTAAGAAAGCCAATGCATGGCTGATTGAGCGATATGGTGACGATGGTGAGATTGACTGGGCCTTGAATCCAGACAATACAACCTTGTCGAAACCTCGCAAAGAGGAACAGAAGACGCCGGAGCAGAAGATTGAAGAGAAGAAGGCTCCAGAGGCAAAGACGCCAGAGAAGAAAGTCCCAGAGAAGAAAGACGAGTTTGATGAAACTGATATACTCAGCGATGATGAAGAGGCTCTAGCTGAGGCACTCAATCAGGCTGAGGAACAAGTCAAGAAGCAAACGAAGTCGTCCTAACCATGACGACTTGGATTTAATTGTACAATATATCTAGCCTCTTTGTTCAGGATTTGGGTGTTTTATTATACAGCAAGCAGCTGTATCATTTTGGTCTCCTTTTGTTTGTCTATGATAGGTCAATAGCGTCGATAGGATATACAACTGGCGTGTTCGGGAACTACTACGGATTATGCATGAGATCACAGCTGCCTGAAATGAACTGGCATCGTCGAGTCGCATTGACAGAAATGGCAGATCGATCAGTGCTCCGTGCTTGCACGCAAAACAGCAACAGGACATTGGCCCTGCGTTTAGTGTGACGTGCTGACGGAAGTAAGCCAAGACCTGTTTCTGCACACAATGCCCAGCTGGCGCTCATTCATGCCAACTCACTTGACTTTTCAGCGCTGTTGCCGGTGACGTCTCGCATGATGAGTTGGCAATGCGCAGTCCAACGAATAGTCAAAGACCCCTGTTCAGCCCAGTCCAACTGCAAACCACATGTCGGCCAGCTCACTGTATCACATCCCCTCTTGCAACCTCACTAGCTGGCAAAGCACGGCGGCCTCACTGGCAGCTCGGGCCTCATCGGAGCGGATAGTGTTGTCCAGCGATACAGCATTTCCTCTAGTTCGTCTGATGTTCCCTTGTCTCCCGTATGTCTTTGTTTTTTTGCTTTTTCCTTTTGTCTTGCTGAAAAAAGCAATCATCATTGTGCAATGGTTCTACTGGACCAGGAACAGCAGCCACAAGCCCCACCAGCCTGGCACGAGTCCTATTCGGGCAGCGTGGGTGGGCAATTAAGGTACCGGCAGCCCAACGACGCGTCGTGTCGCGACAGCTCCAACTGCAGATACGATTGGGGCGGCGTTAGACCGTTACATAGCCGAAGTACAGGGCACCCCAGGGCAGGGGACACAGCCGACCAGAGACAGCCCAAGCCCAGAAATTCTTGATCGGGCCTGTTCCGGATGTCTGGAAAGCATGGAAGGCATCGAGCGCTGAGGATGGGCATTGACTCCATCCGATCAGTCAATGCATTGCATGTGGGCGAAGAGAGCGTTTCGCTACCTGTTCCGTTCAGTCTAGCGTTGGAGTGGTACTAAAATTTCAGGGTGTCACTCGAAAACCGACCCGCAGCCCGTGTACCCTGGCTCGTTATGCATCGTCCAATGTGCCACACGCCACTCCAACTGGCTCTCACGTAGAGCTGCTGTGACAGATCAGGACGCTGGGTCTTCCGTTCCAGACCGACCTCCATACATGGTAAATAGCTTGCAGAGGCGCTGGAGCTGCTCGCATCGCGGGACACGCCGAGCCGGGACTGTTCAGCGGCGAGGCGCATGCAGGGCTCCTGCCAGTCTTCCTGGCAGATTAATACATATACTTGCCGGCATTGGCGATATTACTGCTGGCAGAAATCACACCAAACCCATAAAGAAACGCTATACACACCACTAGGTAGGAGGCAGGCAGGTAATTAATTAGACGGCCCCTAGTCATCTTCCCCCAATTGGCTCCTGCGTCCTGACGCCTCACCCCCTGAGAGATCTCCAAACGCTGGACGGGAACCTAGCGACTAGAATTTCCGCCAACTCTCCAGTCACCCCTTTCCTTTGGGCTGATGGACATCCAACTGGGCTGGTTTGTTTCCTTTCGTTCACATCGTCTGACCGGGGGCCGTCAACTTGGACACGGCCAATGAATTGATCTTTCCTTGTTCCAGCTTGATTTCCCTTTGATACCCCCATCCTACATTACATGCCCCTCCTGTTTATTTTAATTCCCCTACTGCTGCTACCTACCAATCCAAGCACCACCCCCCTCCACCGTCACGATATTCTGTGTCTGATTTCGAAACTTCCCACGCGTGCGCTTTATCGCATAATCTTTCGCATTCAGTCGTCATTTCGTGTACAACCGTTGCGCAGAATACGCAGGCTCGTCTATACTTAGCAATTATCGCGGGAAAGAGAAATAATCACACTTAGCTTGTTGCGCCAACCTGTTTCCGCTTCGTTCCATCACAGGTAGTTTCCTCTACCCCTGGCGCAGGACAGGGGCTCCCACAATAGGTTTGCCCAACCGACTCTCACCCTGACCTGAACTCGACAACAGATGCGCACGAGGCGCTACTCTACGGATTCTGGCCTTGGTCTTCCATAACGTCGAAATTCACTTCCAAGATGGCGGGTGGTTTATTCGCCCGTCTCAAGGGCAAGGACTCCAAGTCCAAGAAGAAGGCCGCGCTCAATGACCTGGCAAACGCGGCGGCTGCCAAACCACAATGGGACGATGCTTGGACGAGGCAGTCAGTCGAGCCGGAGGAGATCCACGAGCTCCTTCACTTCTGTACCGAGGAGCTCAAGGCACGAGGTACGACTTTGCAGCTGCTTCGTGACACGGTCTGTGCTAACAACGTTGATTTTTAATAGCTCTGGACCACCCTTTCCTGCTCCTTCCCTTCCGACCGACCTCAGACCCCAGTGCCGTACGCACTTTCGTTCGACACTTTTTCGATCATAGCCAACCCGCCCGCGGCGAGATTCTGTTACAAGAGCTACGTATGGCAGAGCCTATGGTATGGAATCTGATTTGCGGGACGAACAACGTACAAGTGGCAGTGCTGACTCAAGTTTGCAGGTGATCTCGGGCGTTGCAAAATGGTGCTGGAGCCGCCTACAGGGTGGTGTAGTCGGGTGGGATGCATACGAGCTGTTCAAGGTCGGAGAATTTGGTAGGTCATGTCAAGCTACGTCGCATTGAGTAAGGGAAGGCTGACCGTGGACGACGACAGACTCCAATATGGCCCGTGATTCGTTCAAAACTTTCATTCCCATCAGCGTCGAGAACGGAGCTCGACAACGGATCATATTCGACTTTTTCGAGCTTCTAGCAGCTATCGCCGCGCATGGCAAGACGAACGGTATGGGTGGTCGCAAGTTGTCGCGGATGGCCGCCTGGTGGGCATTTGAACAAAAAGACACTGGCAGCGGCTTTGAAGGTGGCTATTCGGCTTGGTCAAGGTAAGTCTCTCACCCTCGACTCAAAATGGCCCGGCGGGCGTCACCAAAGCAAGGCTAACGTGTGATCAGCGCTGCGGATGCTACAAGCCATCTCTTCTTTGCCTATCTGAGATCAATGGCTCCCGAGTCAAGCATCGGAGGAATCACATCGTTGCCCAGAGCTCTTCAAAAGCTTGTTCAGGAAACCGAGTACCCGCCTCAGAGACCCGAACTAATGATGTCGCGAACGAATAAGGTTGTCATGATGGTGGAAACTGTCTCACCTACACCCTTTTCACTCCTTCGGCGGACCAATCACTTCCAGTACCGTGATTCAGATAGGGCATTGCAGGAATTTGCGGCATACGAAGATCCCATCCGAGCTTTGACTGAGGAGTGCCGCCGTGTCCTAAAGGCAATTTCGTCTGCTAATCAGTCGCAAGTCTCGAGCGTCAAGCACTCCACCAGTCTCCGCGACGCGGACTGGTCCCGGTTCGAGGATGTCGGTTTCTCAAGCGCATTATCTGAGGAAGATGAAGAGGACGATGGTGTGGTGTCTCGCAAACAACCTCAACCGCTAAGGCGCACACCTGCTTCGGGGATGCATGGCGGTCGACCAACCACTCCATCATGGGCCGATTTCCTCTCTTCGGGCTTTGTTGATGGACAATCAGGGTCCAACATGCTACTCCCACCGGACAAGCAATTGCCTCCTATCGAAACCACCCAAAGGCAACATAGCTCACAGTCCCATCGACCAAGACTCGAGTCCGAACAGCATCTCGACCCAGGTGAGCTGGCTAGCATCACCGTTCTGGATCTTGATGACGCATTCTGGTGGGTTTGGATGAGCAGTCTGGCGCCCGAGGAAACCCCCGACAGAAAGTCGGCTTTCGGACGATGTGCTGTCGTGGAGACAATCATCAGGAGCGGTCGCTGGCTCGTAATGGAGGAGATGATTGCAGGCGCCGCACCAGAGCCTGCAGAAGGGGCGTATATCGCCGAAAAGAAGGGATTCTTTAGTTGGACCAGACGCGGGAAGACGTTGAAGCGCCGCAAGTCGACAGGGAAGAACACACCAGATCATTTGAGCAAGCTTGGTGGCAGCGCTGCGGGCAGCAAGGCAAGCGTGGGACCTGACACCCATGCAAGGATCCAAGCCAAGGCTGCTCAGCTCAGGGCTGCCAATGACCACGGCCGACAGCAGGCATTGTTGGCACAACGTCGGGGCAATATGAACCCCGAACTCAGGGCGGACAAGGTCAACAGTGTGATGACCATGCAATCGTCCCTGGTGGGCGAGGCTTCGTCGGCTATGAAATGGGTCAACAAATACGACAACAAGGATTCTCTCAAAGACGCTTACATGTCGAACAACAAAGCTGGACGCGGAGCTACTCTAACTCCAGTGCCCGCTGAGCCTGAGCCTGAGCCAGCGCCTGAGCTCACCAATGGCCACGGGAAAACCAACGGGGCATCGGCAGAACGAAAGGAAGCGCCGGTTCCACGGCCGCCTCCTGTAGTCAAGGAGGCAATTCCCGGACGGAAGCCTGTCGGCTCAGCCAGTCCCGCTGTTCCCCCCAAGAGCCCCGTTCCTCCCAAGACCCCTGAGCCACCCAAGAGTCCCGAGCCTCCTAAGATTGAAGAGCCTCCTGTTGAACCTCCTAAATCCCCCGAGCCTCCTGAGCAAGTAGAAGAAAAGCGTGAGGAAGTTCCATCTCCTCCGGAGAAGGATATCCCGCCTCCAGAACCCATCCGAGAAGCTGCAGCTACCCCAGAGCCAATTAGCCCTGGTATTGAGACAAAGAAGGACCCGAAGAAGTCTGGAGGCTTCAGGAAGTTCTTCAGCCGAAGAAACCGCGCCTCCAAACTTCCCGAGAACGCTTCAGGAAATCTCAACGATATGCTCCGAGACAACCAACAGACACCAGAGCCACAAGCGCAGCCATCAATTGAGACCGCAGTTCCGGCTCCTGTCCAGGAAGAGACGGCGGATGCTGTAAGCCCCATTGAAGAGGAGACAACCAAGGTTGGCCAGGCCCATGACGCCGAGAAGTCGCAATTCACCCAAGGTCCTCTGGAGGATCAGCCGGCGTTTGTCCCTGACAGCGATGATGAGGACGACGCCACTCCACCCCCCATCGCACGCCGCCCTGTCGCTCCTGGTGAATCCTCCCTCGACAAGCACGCTGCCAGCCTGCCCAAGGAAGAGAAACTCAGCCAGACTGCTGGCCCCGGTGTCCAGGATCGATGGGCTCAGATCCGCAAGAACGCAGCCGAACGTGCTGCCAACTTTGACCGCACCCCTACCAAGCCGCCAGGCTCCTCTGATAATGATGATGATACAAGTGCAGAAGAGAGTAAGTTATTTCCAATCACCCCCATCGCAACCCTTTCTGGGCAAGCTAACAAACATCTAGCTATTGAATCCCGCGTAGCACGCATCAAGGCTCGTGTCGCCGAACTCACCGGAAACATGGAGGGCGTCGGTGCCCCTCAAACTACCCCGGCTACTCAGCAACAAGCCAGTCATTAAAATCACACCGTCCGTTTCTTTAACTTGGCACCAGCCGATTTCCTACCCCAGACAACTCTCACCAGAACAACATCTGCTATTTCCTATTATCAGACAAGCACTCGAACAGCCCGATGCACCAGCTAATTTTCCTTGCTTAAACATGGTGCTCCTTGATGGACAACGACTTTCTTTCAAAACTTGTTGTGCTTCTACTTAATATCGGACTCTCTTTGGTTTTTTTTTTCGTTTATGCCTTCTTAAGTCTCAATCTTTTAACACACAGCCGCCCGAAATACCCCATATTTTATACCACGCAGGAAGACGCAAGGCAGCGAGCAGTTTTAGGAGCCAGAATACCCCTAGTTGTTTTCGGCAGTCAATACGATCAAATCTCATACCGTATATGCATATCGAAAGAAGAGTAGTGAAGTCGGGAATCGCGTGATCTAGAAGACAGAGTGGATTCGGGGAAGCGTTATTGTGTAATCAGAGATGATCATTCTGTTTCCATTTTCATCAAAGAGGTCTGAATCTCCGCATGTACTATAAACACTATAAACAGGCTTTATATGTGTATTTGGGATGAGTTTGTACATCAATTGAAGTTGGGCGTTCTTAACCAAGGCTTGCGTAGTATTGTGGTGATAAGACGATGTACAGTGCAAAGACATACTTGCCCGCCCGCAATCCTGCAAGGTTCCAATTAGAATATTAAAGGCGATCCATCTTGCTAGCTTAAAACTAAGCATACGCCGTATTATTATAGTTCAGTCGCCACTTTTCAGATCACCATGCTGAACGAATGACGTGGAGGACTGGCACTATTTTTAGGCTGCCTGATTTACTTGAAGTTGCACTGCTGACTGATCCAGAGTTCCATCAAGGAGCCAGCGAACTGAGCACTGCCGCCTCCTCAATACTCGCCTGCCTAAAGTTCCCTTTTACATATGTGGCCATTGTCGTGCTGCCGTTTTTGCAACGTCGCGCAGAAAACGGCTCACCATGGCTCCTCTGTGCGTTGACCCGAGGCAGATTGTCATTGCCTTTAATAGGGCTCGGCGACAGGCGGTACTTAAACTTGTTGACGAGATCATCTCGTACATGATCTCCCAGCTGCAGGACACGCCAAACGACCTAGGGCCAGTGAACTTAATAGACGGGGATGCTCCAAAGAGGACTACAGAATTCGGTGCACGAGAGTCGGCCTCAAACATTTCATCACAATCTGAGAAAGGAAGGCCTAATCAGCAGCCATCTGGTAGGCGTCCATCGCCCTATGATGACGAGTACACCCAGGCCGCGCGCATCCAGAGAGCTGCTCTAATCGACATCAAGAAGTGGAGGGATGAGTTCCTGCCCAAGTTGGAGGAGATTGTCCATGTGGAGGATGACGCAAAGATCCAGGCCGAGAGGCGGAAGCGGGCTGAAACGATGGCCGCCAGAGGTCCTGCAACTCCAGAGGAAAGCGGGAACCTTATCGACATGGACGATGGCGCCGGGGGCCAGGCAGAGGATTTCACCGTCCTGCAGAACCTGTACCCGCCCACGAGCACTCGTCTGACTACGTTGACTATTGAGGACCGGAAGGAGGCGCTGAGCTGCATCCTGCTCCTCATGCTGTCTACTGGGAAGTATTCGGCATACTCTCGCACGTTGTCCTTGTACCTTGCCTCGTCTCTCGAACTTTCGCAGTCGTTTGTGGTCAACGAGGAGACGGAGATCGCCAAGTCCTTGATCGATTCCTCGAAGCAGAGCCAGAAGGAAGCCATGTCGGCTGAGGCCGAGGCTGCCAAACGCCAGGAGGAGAACAAGGCAAGCAGATTCTGGAAGGTTGGATTGGCCTCGGTTGCCGGCGCTGCCATCATCGGCGTCACTGGGGGGCTGGCAGCGCCCTTGGTTGCTGGCGCAGTGGGTGGCATTCTGGGGGGAGTTGGACTGGGCGGCGTGGCAAGCTTTCTGGGTATCTTCTGGATGAACGGTGCCCTTGTTGGTGCCATATTTGGCGCATATGGAGCGAAGATGACGGTAAGTTTGTCACAACACATTCATTGATCCAAATGCGGAAACTAACATTCATGAACAGGGCGAAATGGTGGATAAGTATGCCAGGGAGGTTGAGGATTTCAAGTTCATTCCATTGAACGAAACAGCGGACAGGAGATTCGCCGACGAAAAGTCTGTCCAGGACCAATACCGCCGGCTCCGAGTCACCATTGGCATTAATGGATGGTTGAACAAGGAAGAGGACATCACCAAGCCCTGGAAAGTCCTTGGCGATGAGACCGAGGTGTTCGCGCTCAGGTACGAGATGGATACTCTGCTAGAGCTGGGCACCGCGTTCGAAGACCTCATCTCTTCCGCTGCCTGGAATTACCTGAAGTCTGAAATAATCAAACGAACCGTCCTCAGCGTCATCTGGGCAGCTCTCTGGCCGATCCAGCTGCTCAAGATGGCTTCCAATGTTGATAACCCGTTCAGTCGCGCGTTGAACAGATCGGAGAAAGCGGGCGAGCTACTGGCAGACGCACTAATTAACAAGGTCCAGGGCGAACGGCCAGTCACCTTGATAGGTTACTCTAATGGCGCCGCGGTTATCCATTCATGCCTGAAATCTCTAGCTGACCGTCATGCGTTCGGAATTGTCGACTCTGTTGTGCTGATCGGAACGCCTGCCCCGGCTTCATCAGCCCATTGGCGTACCCTACGCAGAGTCGTTTCAGGGAAGATTTTCAACGTGTATTCGGAGAACGACCTAGTTTTGGGTTTCGTCCACCGTATGCATACCTTGACACTCGGTCTGGCCGGTCTGCAGCCGATCCAAGATGTGAATGGTGTCGAGAATTTGGACTTGAGCGATCTAGTCAGTGGCCACTTGCGATACCCCGGCTTGACGGGTAAGATTCTTCGCCGGTGCGGCTTCGATGGTGTTCATTCCGGAAAGGATATTGAGGAAGACGACTTGATCAAGATGAAGCATCAGTATGCTGCAGAGGGGATCAAATCCGGGAGCAACGACAATGACTTGTCCATCTTGGATGACCCGATCCACGAATCTACGCCACAGAGGAGAGTAATGCAACAGCAAGATGGGCCTGAGACTTTGGCGCTCCCTTTGCGGCCAGGTTCGATAGAGATCAAGCCGACACCGAAGCAGGAGGAGGTTCCTCAACCGGAGTCTCGACAACAGAATGACAGCCATTATGATTCAGATGATCCAGAACACCCGGCGTACAAGGGTATAGTCATGGTCGATGGTTCAGATGACGATGACGATGATGAAGGCCTTACGATAGAGGAAATCTTGAGGAATAGGGAGAGGCAGTAAATAAAATATCACTCTGTTTGTATTGTCTGCTGGATGATTTCTCTTATACTTGGCAAATGACTATATTGGTTGCAACCACTCTTGGGAGCTCCCGCATCACGCTTATGCTCTCCAAGGTAATTCTACACTGAAAATTTAGTAGCCGAATCATTGGGAATCCGCGTCAACAACCGAAAGAAATATTTATTTGACAAGCTACTCACCTATCATGCAAAGAGAATTGAATGTGACAACTGCAGGGTAGCCTCGCGAGTTGATGGCCCTGCGATAAGCAGATAGCGCCGGCCCCACCAAAAAAATTGACCTGCCGACGATGTCGCAGCGTATTTCTTTTCTAGCCAACCACCTCGTCCAGTTATTCTCTCCGACTCTGCGCAATTCACTTCAGGCAGCTTTTGAGAACCTCGTTCTTATGTCGACACAAAAAAACATAATCAAGAGAATCACACGCCGAAAACCTCTGCGCCCTCCATCATGAACGCTCATGCTCTCCTCTCCCGCCAAGGGTGGCGGGGGCACGGCCACTCCCTCCACAAGAACGACGACTCGATCGGTCTCGCGAAGCCTCTCCTACTGAACCGAAAATACAACACGAAGGGTCTGGGGGTCGCGCAGCACTTCAACAACGACCAATGGTGGCTGAATGCCTTTGATGAACAATTGAAGGGTCTGGAGTCGAACGGCAAATCAGTGAAGCAGACCGTGACCACCGGCAAGCTGAACATCGTCGAACAGGGAGCGATGGGGAAGTGGTCCGTCTACTCTTCCTTCGTCAGGGGTGGCTTTCTAGAGGGCACCGTTGATCTGTTGTCTGCCCAAGACTCTACGACTTCAGACTCTAGCAGCGACAGCAAGGATTCGGAAAAGGTCAAGGACAAGAAGTCCTCGAAGAAGGACGATAAAGAGACGAAGGAAGAGCGACGCGCACGGAAGGAGGCGAAGAGGCAGCGCAAGGCAGCGCGCGCATTACGGAGGGTTGCCCGCCGTGAGCGAAGGGAGGCCAGGACGAAAGGCCAAAAGGGTTCTAGTTCAGAAGATTCCTTGTCTGAGGAGAAGCGGCGGCGGCGAGAACGAAAAGAAGAAAAAAGGAGAAAGAGGTCAAAGGAATAGAAGGGATGGGAGCGAAAGTATCGCCGCGTGAGCGGATGGCAAGACTATAGCATATGGCGAAGCGTGTTTTGTATTAGTTGGTTGCATTTCATGGGAGTTTGGGCAGAAGAGGGACCAGAAACATGTAGAACTTGGACACATTAGATACCCAGGATGTGAAGAATTTAATTTTTGGCTCTAAGTTTCTTTGGGGATTTTCCCAGGCTTGTTCGATAATAGCCATGGCCGCCTGTCCCAGAAATCGTTCTTGATAATGTCCAAGTGGTCTACAACGATCCGCGCCTTTGCTCGACGCTTTTTGTCATTTTCTGTTTGTGTCTTGGATTGTTTGACAGGCTCTGCAAGCGAGTCCATAGTTTCGGTGATCGCGTGGCTGTCAGGTTCAACCAACTCGTACTGTTTGGATCCAGAAATGTGAGTGGTTGAGGTTCGGCTAAGGGGCTTCATGACACTTACATCTCGAAATACAACACTGCCTTTCTTGAACATCTCTGGCTCATTGTTGTAGTTGATTTTAAAGCGAGAGAATAATATCTCGTTCTTGTCCGCAGCCAATGTCCCCTGAGGACGGTTAGAGGAGTGC